AGAACTGTGGGATAGACTGAAAAGTGGAATAACTTCCCAGAAGGTGATGATAAACCACTTGACAATAAAACTGCAAATACAGACCCATGAAAGCACCAAAAGTTGAGCTTCAGTCATAGATTTTTAAAAATTATCAAAATTGAGACTGTTATAATCATTTGTCAATTAAAAGAGCAGATTAGCAGTGTTTTTATGCTCCATATAAAATTAATTTAAAGTTTACTATGTTTAATGAGATTTTTTATTATTATGACTAACATAATTATGAACCCATAAGCTCCATTTGCTGATTAGGGAGTAATTACTGTTTTCCATGTTCCTTTTTTTCTATATTCTGTTTCCATATTTTATTTACTACATTCCTTTTTTCAAAGTAGAAATGATTTAAAAAGTATGTAAATTTAAGAACCAATGTTAACAGTCCTTAATCTTTGGTCCCTTCAGCAGATCCCCAAAATTAAATCTTGAACAAGACCAAATGCCATTCTCTTGATTACAATCTCTCTATACAGATCAGGCTTCCCCATTCGAATGTTTTCTGACTGCTTTAGATTCCAGTCCCCCAAATCCCTAGTCAGTATAGTTGAAAACTATGGGATGTCTAGAAGACATCAGGTTGAGGGGAAGTGACTGTGAACATGCTGCCCTCAGATACACAGCATCAAAATATTAGTCCTCTTCCTTTCTCACCATTCCAGGAGCATCTGGAGGTAGCAGAAGGACTTCAAAGTGATTGTACTAGATGGGTACATCTAGTGATTGTACCCATCTTGATTATTCTGCACCACCATAGCCTTTTCCCAATTAATGCTCTAAAGCTTGTATTAAAAAATTACCTATTTAAGAGAATATACAGTCCTTGCCTTGGCCATTTTAAGATGAATTAATGTTTGAAGATGTGTCAAAGAGTAGCTAGCTTCCTTCCAATAGACAAGAAAGTCCATCCCAATTTGAATCTACAAGTCACAGTACAGTAAATGCCACTTTTTAAAATTGTATTTTCTATTAAGCCTTTTATAATTAGTAGATACCTCCCATTTCAGAAGTCAGACTAGCAAATAATTCCTGTACACATGGAAAGACAGAGTGAGCTCTGCTTGTACATCTCTGCAGGTTTGTAACAGAAAATTGAATTTGATGTTTTTTAACATCAAATCCAATTTTCCTCATTAACAATTCCTGAAGTTTACCAGGAATGATTTTTTTGGGGGGGAGGCATTGTTTGTTTTTTGCCTAAAAATAATTTCAACTCATTTCCTAAACTGAAAAAAAAATCCTAGGCACATGTATTATTCTGAAGGTCCCAAGCACGCTTAGAAATAGAGTAATCTTTGGCATCAAAACACAGTACTACAGGTATATTAAGGTGTTTTCTTTCGACTTCATCTACAAAATGATGTTCCATTGACACCAGTGGAAATCTTAGAATACAATTGTTTGTAAAATAGCAGCCATAGTTCCCAAAGATATCACAACTGAATGAATTTTTACAAAGGGGTGCTCTATTTACAAAGGGACAAGCATAACCTTCCACTGGTCAAGGTGCACAGGGCTTAGCCAATAGGGTGTTTTCCTGAAGGTCTCATCCTGGAACCAATTCGGAAGATGCAAAAAATGAAAGGGAAATCATAGGAGATTTAAATCCATATGACCAATATGCTGCCCTTATTGGCAAAGGTATAGTTAAGAGTCACACAATTAAAAATGGTGAAAGAACCAATATTCCTATTGTATAGTTTTCCATATAGTAAGTAACCTCATGAAAAATGTGCAAGATCTATTAACAGAATATCCCATTCTTGAGTTTTACTTGTAGTAACTGAAAAAGTTTTTTACCATTGGAATACAACTGTTTTACTCAGTGCTTTTTTTGTAAAAAAAAAAAAGGTGCCAGAACTCACACAGGTCATACAACTTGCCTTGCCTATCCTACAAGGTTTCATCCAAAAAAAAGTTCCGGAACTCCGTTCTGGGCATTCTATGACAAAAAAACCCTCTGGTTTTACTAAACAAAATTCCAAAACAATATTTTTTAGAAGATGTCTGCCTCATCAGAACCCTGGCAGACAGCACTGAAAATCTTGAGGTCAGAAGCAGAGGAACTGAACCTAGGTTTGGTAAGTTCAGTTGCTATCATTAGAAAACAAAACAGCAATAAAACCCAAAATGTCTATTTACAAATCATTGCCCATCCATTCAGTGGGACTTATTGGTAGATGATATATGCAATTGCTACTGAAGAAGTCTTACGTAAATTCTGAAAAAAGTCATTCGTCGCCATCAAACCTTTCTGTAACCTTCCAGGATGATAATTCAAATTACTCCCTTATCTACATAGATTCTCAAGGAAATCAAATTCCCATAGAATTTGCAATCTCAATTCCCCAGAGTTATATCATACATATTAAAAACATACTTTCTTATATTTTAAAAAAATGTCTTTCAGTCAAAAGGACAGTTTACTCTGAAGTTTAATTGCAAAATTCTCACAATTGTACATCTAATATTTTCTTTAGCTAGATAGCTTTTCTCCACTTTTTCTAAGTTTCTTGTTTTGTTCTCTTGAAAATATTCTAAAATGAGTAGAACTTTTGACTAAACCTTGCATACTTAGAGCATTCCATTCCTCATCAGTGAATTATGAAACTTCAGTTAACAATTACTTCTTTTTTTATATTAATAAACAATATAGTTTGTTTGCTTCCTTTCTTTTGGCCTTTGGAAGATGCATTATAATGCAAAACGCAACTTCTACTTTAATCTCCTGCTTCAAAGTTGCTTAAGTTATTTGAAAGTTTACTGCTATTCGTTTCATTAGAAATGCTGAATTTCACAATTTCACAATTCTGATTTGTTTGGGGACTGTAAATCCCATTAATTTTGAAGTGACTTCATTATAACTGGTGTGGTCTGAATGCAACCTATGAAAGAGCCTGCCTCATTAAAAGCAGTATTTTTCTAATGAATACATTTACAATAACCATGACAATATTCTAATAAACTGCAGTTTGATTTCAAAACTACTCAGCTTAGACCAGTGATGGCGAACCTTTTAGAGAATGAGTGCCTAAACTGCAACCCAAAACCCACTTATGTATCATCGGGTGCCAGGTGAGCATGGCCCATTGGATGGGCATGGTTTCAGTGATAACGGCAGACTGGGTGGGACTAAAAAGTTCAATCAATCAATTCCAACTTTGCGAGATCTTTTTTTCCTACGAGAAGTTGAAATTGATTGTATGATTAAACCTTTTTTTTTTTTGTACACGGCGGTGGAGGCCTAAAGCGAAAAGGTTTTATAAAAGCTAGCTGAAGGCCTAGGACTGGGGCGATGGCGCGCGTGCTCACAGAGAGGGCTCTGCGTGCCACCTGTGGAACGCGCGCCATAGGTTCGCCACCACGGGCTTAGACCTATCTAGTCCAAATCAGCCTATAAGAGGTCATTCACCATTTCCTACCATTGATTCCTATATGCTTTGAAGATTCTATTGTGCACTCCTGCCAATAAAATCATATAGAATGGAAGCCCAAGAGACAGGCTTTTGAAGTACTTATTACTCCCAAGTCCAGTTTCTTCAAATCAGATTTCAAAACATGAATGATGTGTATATTTTGCAAAGGTTTCCTTAAGAACATTTCCTCCTCCTCTATCATGTTATAAATATTGTGAATAAATTACTGAAGGAACCAGACATGAAACCACACAATTTTAATATTGTTTGGGATGGATTTATATTTTGTAGTTTTATTTTTGCCTAGAAGCTACTCTGATTGCTTATGACAAAAAGGACATGAGGATTATAAAGTACAATACTCCAATACATTGGAGGTCCTAGCATTTGTGTTGTGCTACCATATGTTATAAAAACAAGCAATATAACATTTTTTAAAATTATGATTTTAGTTAATAAGCATGGAAGCAACTAATTACCGGATATTTTCTATTATATGATCGAGTCAATAACCAAGCCTGACTATATGTATGTGCATATGTTATGTGCACAAACACACACATACAGTGTGTGCAGATATCAAATAAGTGCAACATCTCTCTATTTATTAAAAATCTTTCAGGCTTCTGCCCAAATCTGAGAAAAAGTGCCAATACTTTTAAGAAACCAACTGATTAATGCAACTCTTAAAACAGCAGTATTTTGTTGTTGTTGTTCATGTTTCACAGAAGCCTAAAAAAAATTGGGCTACTTTAATGAATAGCAGGAGATGATGTGCAGTTATTTTAGGTCTGAAGTATTTATTTCAAATCATTTTGAGGCATGTATACATCACTAAACTGTAAGGGAGCTTAGCGTATGTCTCTTTATATGTATTCTGAATGCCAAGCCATTTCATCCCTGGTTTAATTAAGTACTTTAGAGATTTAAAAAAATAAACCCTTTTAGATCACTAACATGCTATGAGTCTTTCAGAAGCCAGGAGGAAAAATTACCCCCAAAGGAAGTATGAGTGGCCTGAACTTCCTCTTTTGTCCCTGCCATGTGCACCAGTTCCTCTTCCCAGCAACTGGGAGCTCCAGAAATGATGAAACAGCTGTGCTTTGAGATCTTTAGATGGAATCCTGCTGGGGATCCTTTCTATTAACAGTACCACAGAAAACTATTATTAAATAGTAGTTTTATATGGTTTGTACTTTCCCCTCTCCCATGAAACACAGAAACTCTATAACAGGGGTTCTCAACCTTGGCAACTTTAAGACTTGTGGACTTCAACTCCCAGAATTCCTCAGCCAACAAAGCTGGCTGAGAAATTCTAGGAGTTGAAGTCCACAAGTCTGAAAGTTGCCAAGGTTGAGAACCCCTGCTCTAGAAGATTTCTGAATTGGTGTGAGCTCCTCTAAATACCACTCTATTCAAAAGAAAGTAAGCAACAGTACATGTCTGTAGGAATGGGTAACCCAGTCAAATTTAACTTGGCTCAGATCTTGCCTAAGTTAAATTGGATCCAGAGGAGGGAAAAAAAAGCAGAATAGCAGTTATAAATACCTTTCAGAACCAGCGGTTCCTTGCCTTCCCTCTTGAGAGACTCTAGCACTATGTGCAATGGCTGTGAAGGCATTATTCTGCTTGGCTCATTAGTATTTTCATCATAAACAACTATTTCTTTGGAAAAGATTCTTTTAAAGGAGTCCTTGCCTTCTCTGCAAGAGATCAAGTCCAAGACAGTGATCTTGCCCTGCTGAAGCCTTCTCCTACTGATCTTATCAGAGCAATTGATATGAACAGCCCCTTGGATGTGGCTTTTGTTGTACTCCATGAAAGGCCGGCAATCAATGATGACTGGGCCTTGGTGGCTTTTGTTGCATTTGGTCATCTTTTTTGCCAGGTCATTGGGATGGATGATTTTGATGCTTGCCAGTTGCTTTGTTGGACCTGAGACTGGATTCCCCACACCACCTGATGGACTCAGAGGGCTAATGTTCTCATTGTTGTTGACCATTTGGTTTGCTGAGCAAGTAGTCAAGGTTCCTATGCTGGCAGAGATGCTGCTGGTGCTGGCTTGGGTTTGGGCCTGATTGTCCTTGTCGTATGTTGCCACAGTGCAGCAACTGGCACTGCTGCATCCACAACTCAAGGAGCGGGCAGAGCCGTTGGATGAGGGCATATACGTCAGATTAGCAGCCTTGATGGACACAACAGCCGTGCTGAGGAGACTCACAGGGTTTTCACTGGCGGAGGAAACAGAGTCAAGGTAGCTGGAATCTAAGCAAAGATTGAGATCCTGAGGTCTTACGGGCCTGGAGAGTGCCACTACAACCCTGTCGTCTAGTGGAGAAGGAGGCATGAGGAGGCTGAGAATGGGAAGCCAAAGGAACTCAAGCGTCCTCTGTTAAAAACAAAAGAAAAGGAGAAAAGGTAAGTTATACTGTGATGGACAAGCTTTCATTCTTAGACTTGTGTGGGAACCTCCTTTAACAATGATCATTCCAAGAGCTGTTTGGAATTGGTAAAAGTAAAGAAAACCATTAGCAACTGCAATCAATTAGCAAAGAAATAATGGAAAACTAAAGATGAATTACTGTTTAGCTAAGTTAGAAGCAAGAGTGTAAATGAATCAGAAAATCCTCCAGCCCAATCCTTTATGGAACTGCAGAAGTGACAGAATATAATTCTTTGCCAACTAAGATTGTATGTGTACTACTTTCATGTGGGCACAATGATGGCATTTGCTACAGAATATCCCCTTTATCTCACATTTAAACTTTAAGGGTAATATTATGAATGCATGTGTCTGAGAATAAATAGTAAGTTTCAGATACCAATGAAGTTACTAAATAGGTTACTTTTTGCTTGAAAGTAATCCAGCCATGATCGCTTCTTGCTCTCTCATTCATTAGAAAAAGATGAAAAATCAATCTTTTTTGCTTCAAATTTATCATCTGTTATTTTGATTGGATAATCTACACAGCCATATTAAAGAGCAAAAAATAGAGGTTTGGCAAACTAATTAATCTAACACGTCTTACTGTGGTAGACAACCTACCACAGTGTCTGTGGAGCAGGTAGCAGACAACTCCTACAAAGTTGCTCTAAAAGGAAAGAAAGGTTACACAAAAGATCCCAGGCTTTCTTCTATGTAATCCATAAATGAAATAGTCAAAAGTTATTATAACATCTCAAGAAAATAGGAAAAATAAATCTGAGCATGGAAGAAATGTTGCAACTTTTTTTTTTAAGAAGACATTTTCAAAACTGCCAAGGAAGCAGAGAGGATGCACCAATATACTGTCTAGCAATGAAAACAAATATTGAAATGAAAGAGGATTTTTTTTTAAAAAAAAATGGGAGGGTGTCATGTATCTCTTATGAATGGAATTGCTATTTCGGAATTGTTCTTTAGTCAGATGCTAATGCAATCATTTAATGACAGCTCTGGAACATCTAAGCCTCAAGGTACACAAACTCTTCTGGTTACTGCTGAACACATGATTACAGAGCTTGAAATTATTTATCTTAATAGAAAAAAAAGTAAACCTTCCTATTACCTTGGAGGTTTGTATCTTATATTAACTTTAGAGCACTGCTGAGTGACCAATTACATTGGTATCTGGCTCAGTCTAATTAAAAGGTCAAAGATGTCAATGATTTTTTTTAAAAAAAAAAGGTTACTGCATTACCTTCTGAGTCTCTGAAACTTGAAAACTTAATCATACTTAAATTCCTATTTAAGTCATAAATGCAGAGGAAGCTTGCCCAGGATCAGACAAAAGTAAGGGGAATTGTCCTCATCTCCTCCAAAGGACTGTACCTCAAAAATTATTTTAAACCTATTTAAGGAGGCATGGTTTTTTTTTTTTTTTAAAAAAAGGAAAAGTAATTCTTCTATACTGATCTTCTAAAATCACAGCATCCTCTCCACCGATTGTCCTTCCGTTAGTACGGTCTTCATTTTAAGACAAAGTCAGAATAAGTAATGTTCTTCTCTCCACGGAGGGGGGGGGAGAGTATTTGCAGGATGAATTTAAATCGCTGCTGCAAAAAAGGACAAAATAATCTGTCATCTGGGTGAAAAGCAGCAGCCCAAGAACGCTACTCAGAGGCAAAAAAGAAAAAAAAATCTGAAATATACAGAAGGAGCTTTTTAACCCCTCTTCCCCCTCCTTTGTGAAGCACAAATCTTGGTGCGCGCAAATGTGCCCCTCGGGCGCTTTAAGAAATAAGGAAGCAAAGGCGCGGGGAGGGGCGGAGGGACACAAGGGACACACAAAGACAAACGGCACTTTCTAAAACAAAAACAAACCAGGAGCATACTGTGACTTTTATAACCGAGTCGGGTATGGAATGCGAGAGGGTTTAAAACATCTTAAGAACATATTGGGGAGCCAAAGATAATCCTTTCCCCCCTAGGCAAAGCAATTCGGAAAGATCTGCGTCTCTGCAGCAGAGGCAGTTTTTATTCCCAGCCAAACCGCGATGTCAGTGTTGCGACTGAAGCAAATCGCAGCCAACAATAACTACTCCTTGTCCTCAGGCTCATCTAATAGTTCCACAGGTCCCAGGAAAGAGAAGACGCCCCCCCCCCAAGTGTATATACGAAGGATGCTGAAGCTGGGTGCCTCTTATGCACCCCGATCCCCACCCCCCAATATACTGCAGTAATCCCAAACGAGAACAGCTCGCTTTCATCCAACTCATTTGGTGAACATCCGCTAGAGAAAAACGCACAAACGACGACAAGGGGTAGATGGGGGTTAGGAAGAGAGGCAGCGGTCTCATTTTTATCGACCCAAACTCTCTCTCTTTAAAGAAAAAAAAACTCTTTTCGAAGCTCCTCTGTTGTCTACATAAACACACAGACACAGCTCCTCTCCCGTATGAAAGAAAGTCATCTACTTACTTCATAAATGAATGGATATCCTTCAGCACCTGGCGCGCGGCTGCGGTGATCGATTTATGTACACCATTCACTTAGCTTCATTGATCTCCAGCTGCAACATACTTACTTTCTCTTTTGCTACCCAGTAAATGTAAGGTTCGAAAGGGGCCGAGGCAATAGAAGAGATAAACGGGGCCTTCACCCAATAGGCGTTCTCTCCTGGTGGCTAGTTTTCCGCCTCTCGCGGAGATGCCAATGATTGGGAGCGAATGAGTAAGTGGGCGGAGCCGTTGGCTGCCCTCTCATCTCTTAAGGGTTGGTTTGGTCGCAGTCGCTTCGGGCTTTCTGTGTTATAACCTGCGGAGCGAGTGATGTCATTGAAGGCCAATCAAAAGCTCCAGTGGGCCAGCCTCAGCCGGAGAGGAGCAGTAGCAGCTGCTCCCTATTTACATTTAAACTTTACCAGGAGGATGTGGTTAACCCTTTCCTGCGCAGAATTGTCAATCGCGCCCTTTAACTACTTTTCCTCAAAGTGGCTTGGCTAACTGATTTTCCCCACTCTTTCTTTTCTTTTACATTTCTTTTACACTTACAGGAGGTTCAGCACTACTTTCTACTACTCTCCCTTTAAGATCTCCCTCCCTCCCACTCTTTCAGTGAATGAATGAATCGGTGAATGAATCTCTCAGCCACTCAGTTCTTCTTATCCAACGCGTTACCGCACCGGAGCCCATCGCTGACTGACAATTAGCTTTTCATTCGGAGCAGCCCTGGAGAAACAACAATCATTTTGTCCAGCTGTTATCTTTATCCACCACCGCTTGGAGGACAACAGGACTAGGAAGACCAGGTCCCCTCTTGAGTTTTTTAATTAGATTATGTGTTGTGATCTCCACAGAGGAGGATGCAGTGAGGTTTTACAGCAGTGCAACCGAAGAAAGAGAGTCAATCAAAGAGCAAACAACTACACCATAGTTAATAAGATGTAAATAAAGAACTGAAAATAATAATGCACCTTGTAGTTTTGAGAAATGGCCAAATAACACTTCCTGATCTCAGATTTCACCAGGTCTATGATTACTATTAGAATTAAACTGGTGCTCTTAGTTTTTCAGTCCTGGCTATGATTTCTTTAATTTTTAGACAGCAAAGAGATGAGGCTGGTAGAATTCAATAATCCCATTATATCTGGGTTCTATTAACTGGGGAACCATTCAAAACTAGCCCTCTGAAGATGACAACCTAATAAAAAGCATAAGGTAGCCACATCTAGCCTCACTTCTTGTAGCTGTGTTGGACAACTAGTGTTATTCCCCAAAAGCATGGTCACCGGACTACCAGATAGGGTACCTTAGTCATTATGAAACATTACTTCAGTATAATGAGTCAAGTCAGATACAGCACCACCAGCCATATTTGCACCCCATCTTGGAAGGTTATATTTCAAATCTGGTGATATATTTCTCCCATCTATCTATCTATCTATCTATCTATCTATCTATCTATCTACGGTATCTATCTAATTTATGATCTTCCATCTCACAAGAAGTGATCCTGAATGGCATACAGCAAAAATATAAAAATAATAAAAATGTCAAAAACAGTCAAATTAAAAAATTAATAAAGCATAAAACACACAAGAGATTAGATAAACAAGGGAGCCACCTCAAGATTTCACCATTCCTCTAAGACACCCCACCCCCACACCCCACCAGATGACATAACCAGGGTCTTGAGGAACTTCTGGAAAATAGATAGGGATGGAGACAACCTCAATTTGAGGGAGCAAATGTTCCACAAGGAGGGTACCACAGCAGAGAAGGTCCACCCCTTATGGTCTGTCAGGTATATTCCTGACTGATGAAACCCATAACATTGTCTGAGTATTGTTGCATAAAGCCCTAAGTGGCCTTGACTCCCATTTTACTTGCAGGTTCATCTCTCCTGTCTGGGGTCTACTAGTCAATTATGTGTTATCATTTCAAGATAAGATATTTAAATAGGCCTCAGAGGCAAACCTTCTTGGTAGAGGCCCCAACACTGGAGCAAAATTTATTCTCTGAGGTTCATTTGGCTACTATCCTGCAGGTATTTTATAGACTCTTAGAATAATCCTGTTTTTATAGGTTTGTAGGTATTAGTGAATGTGTTAGACTGTTGTTTAAACTGTTATTATGGTTAAATTTTATTTTGGTTATAGTTTTTGTTAGCTTATGGATTTTATAGTGGGAGGAGGGCTTTTTATGATTGCTATATATTTCATTTTCTTATTTTGGTACATTGTCTTGTGACTTATTTAAGCAATATAAAAGGAGAATTACCACTTTCAAATATTATAGTCTGTAGCTGTGTTGGTGAATATAAATTTACATATTTTATATAAAATACATTATAAATTAATAAATACAAATAAAATATAATAAGTTTATTATAAATATAAATAAAACAATAAAATCAAATATTATATACTATGTATTATGATTTCAAACATTCAATAACATTCCAGCTAGACTAGCAGAATATGTTACATAACAGGACTGGATTTGATGTACATTAAAAAAAGAAAAGAATGCATATAATTAGATATTCAGTTGTCAGATATGGGGAAAATAACCAGATAGGTTAATACTGGAAATCTTCTCTATAAGACCAATAGTAATGTGGAATTTCAAATAACCACTAAAAGAATCAGACTATTATTCTGTATGACATAAAATTGGATATGTTAGGATTTAAATTTTTCAATGGTTCTCATTTTGTATGCTATGCTCAAAAAGGTACACTTTTTTAAAAAAAATCAGTCATTTGTTTACCCTTTCTAAAGATTGTGTAGGATGGATAATTAAATATCTCTAATCTTTGTGCCAGAATTACTGTCAATATCTTTGTATCAATACTTTACAAAAATATTGGTCAGCAGTTGTAGGATCTTCAAAAACCAATCACCTTATATAAGCTTCACTGATAGAGGATGGGAAATTTTATACAAAAAGGACTTCCAATAATACTGAAGAAAAAGGCATAATACACATCTTTTAATACTCAGTGGAATAACAATCCAGTTCTGGAAATTTTTTCTTCCTTTGTGTCTTGTAATTATGTCTGTATTTTTGGATATCCTTAGGAAGAACTATATTGATTAATTTCTCTCTCAGTTGCTTTGATTCAGCTCTGTACAACCAAAAATAAAAATAATTTTTGGAAGAGGCTGGATCTTCTGAAAAGAACTACATGCATCTGCCAAACAATTTTGAGGAAAAAAACAATTCCGTCTTAATTATCTGAGATTATTTCTCCCAAATGATATGATTTAGAAACAAATGTTATAATAGAACTGGGAGACTTATGACCTTCCATTTTTTTTTGTACTTTAATGTCGATCTTCATTTTTTAATAAGGCAAACAGTCAGTGGGGATAGAATTTTAAATTGACAATATCTGAAGAATGACACGTTTATTGGTTTTATATTCAAGTAACATTTTCCAAGTTAATTTATAGGATTACAAATAGTTTTTGACTTACAACCACAACTGAGCCAAAAATTTCTGTTCCTAAGTGAAACATTTGTTAAGTGAATTTTCCACCTATCTTGACACTGTTGTTAAATGAATCGCTGCAGTTGTTAAGTGAGTAACACAGTTGTTAAGTGAATCTCTCTTCCCCATTGACTTTGCTTGTCAGAAAGTTGCAAAAGGGGATCACATGATCCCAGGACATTGCAACCATCATAAGCATAAGTCAGTTGCTAAGCGTCCGAATTTGACTATGGGGATGCTGCAATGGTCATATGTATGAAAAATGGTCTTAAGTCATATTTTTCAATGCTGTTGTAACTTTGAACAGTCACTAAATGAACTGTTGTAAGTCAAGGACTACCTGTATTAGAAACCTTCTGAATTGATCCAAGGCTACTGTAGCATCATTATTCCTATTCTGACCACTTATGTGTTTGTGGGAAGTCCAAAAGTAGATCTTGATACAATATTCCTGTTTCTACTGTTTCTTCCTAGCAATTTTTAATCATTTACTCAAAGTGTCTAACCTGATATTTGCATATACGGTAGGTCAGGGATGAATAACTTTTTCAGGCTGAGGGCTACAGATGAATATACAAAGGAACTACATTTCAAATAATACAGTGGGATAAAGAGAAAGAAATAGGTGGAGCCAAACAGGTAAAAACTAAATTTGACTTCATTACATTTTACATGTCTGAATTAATGAATTAATTCTGTGCTGTTCAGAGGAATCTTTTCTTTAGTTGATCTTTAATATTCTCCCAATTTAATTGGATGACCCTGAACTGAAGTACAATGAAAGAAGACATTTTTATCACCAGTCTCTTTTCTCTACAGCATGAATCCTTTTATGAATCTCTATACTTTCCATCTTTGTCTTTATTTTTTTTCCTAATCACAAATTCCTCAGCACATTAGCCTTTCTTTGCAGCAAATAAGCTTTGACTCTCTGACCATTTGATTGCAATAATTCAGTACATGAAATGATGAACTGCAAAGTGGTACAATGTGAAAAAGAAAAAAGAAAGGACAGAGATGTACACTACAGAGGGTTCTTCACCTTCAAGCTGTTTTTATCCTGCTTTTATTATTATTTTTTATAACTCAAAGTGCCGAACATATCCAGCATTCCTTCTTCCTCTCATTTTCCTCACAACCCTGTAAGACGAGTACAGTTGCAAGAGAGTGACTTGCCCAAGGTCATCCAGCTGGCTTTCTGCATAAGGCAAGACTAGAACTCATACTCTTCTGGTTTTTAACCTAGTGACTTAACCACCAGAACAAATTGACTCGGGGTTTTTTTCGTTTGGTTATAAAAATAATGCCTATTTGTAACGGTGTCAGTTCCTTGGTAGTTTTTATAGTTTTCTACTGCTTCCAGATGAACCTGGTGCCTCTCATTGTAGACACTGTAGAAGGACAGCCATGTTAATCTACAGTAAATCTATGGATTTACTTCAGCCAATTGTAGACAGGGACAAGACCCACAAGTCCCTGCTAGAGGCAGAACAACATCCTAATATGTCCTGACAGTCTGATTCACACAACACATTCCCCATGCCATGCACCAATCTGTCATTTTCCTTGATGATGCTGGGGAGCATTCAATAACAATCCTGCCTAGCACATTTCATGAATAGTTCCAGCAAAATAATGAAAACATAAAATTTGCAAATAAATAAATATCTGGAAAGAAGATATTTGATACAGGAAGGAGTGAATGCTTACAACAGCCAGGTAGGGCTTGAATGGGATGAATAGTCCATTCTTTCTATAGCAGTCATATATTCTCAGTGACATATCTCTCATTGCTCCTCAAGCTCAAAAGCAGATTCTCTAATCATGCTAGGACTGTG